ATTAATATAAGACTGCTCTAGATAATTCAATATGATTTACAAAATAAGTTGATTGGGAGCTCCAAGGAGTGTCCTGTAAGCTTACTGGCCTTTGATTGTAAATTTGCTCTGTTATCCAATCATTAAGGATACTGATTTCCCAGCAGGCTGTAGTAGAGGAGAAGTTTTTGTTTCAAATCCTCCAAATATAGGAAGTTCTGTCCAAAGGGTTGCCTCTGAGATCACCACCAGCCTGCATATTCTTACTTTCAAGTCTCCCAAATTCTGCAGCTGCAGGGATACTTTGAGGAAATTCCCTTGTTTCTTCCAGCTGCTGAGAAGGAAGTTTTAAAGTGCCACGTGGCGCAGAAACATCCGTTCTCCCTGGCTGACAGGTCTCTTCTGCAAGTTAGCAAAGGAGAAGTGAAGGTTCTTCAATGGCAAAAGAATTTCATTCCTGCATACCCGAAGTCACTAACTTTAGCTAATCAGTGTGAACTAGCTCCACAAATTCTTGGGCCAACAGAGGGCAAAGCTACTCCATTGTCCACAACTAGTTTCAGCATTTTTATATGCCTAGTAAATAGCCAAAAAAAGGAGCTAACTCACCTCCTATTTGGGGCCACAGCCAAATTCAGAGGCATTGAGTATTTGGGGCAGGAATGATTCTAGTTGATATGTGGAGCTTATTCATTCCAGTTCTCCATCTGGGGAGATTCCAGAGACATTCAGATTGGTGAGGAGAGGGAGCAGGTGCACTTGCTTTTCAACTCACAAAAGACTGTTCATTGTGTTTGGGGCATGAAGCATCCCCAAAAGTAGGATTTGCATGCATGACTCAGGTAGCTTTTATGCAATGTGACTTTAAGTTGAAAATAATACATTTTAGACTTAATTCATTAAAAAGTCACTTCAAGTGTCCTAGATTTGGGGTAAATCCATTTTTAGTTAAGCACCAAATTTAATAAAAGAATTGTCACAGGTGCCTGTACTAAATAATTATAAGTGTTAATATTAGCTGATCAAATAGATGATTTAGTTAAAGCTATTTTAACATTATAAGAGAACATATTGGTTCTAAATTCTTATAGAAAATAAATTTTCACAGTATATTTTTAACCAGTAAGAATACTAAAATTATTTTTCAGCATTTCCCAGTAAATTTTAGAAATAAGGTCTATTTTGAGTCATTTAATTATTCAGTTCATCTCATTACTTTAATAATTCCTCACAGTCAATTCTTAATCGCAGGAAACAAACTGAGTGTTGTTGGAGTGGGGGGTGGGGTGGGAGGGATGGGGTGACTGGGTGATAGACACTGGGGAGCG